TGATAGGCTCATAGAGATGAGAATAATGCTTGGTCCCTGTTGGATGCTTTGCTATGCTATGCTATGCAGATGATTAGACTATGTACATGACTCTATATGCAAATGCTAATGATATTGAAACATAAACCCAGGTGAAATAGGTTGAGCAAATTTTAGGGTGCAACATACCCTTGCAAGGGATTTAAGATGGAAGTCAAGCCTTTGGTCAGGATCAGAGGAGACTCAAAGGACGAGTTTGAATGTTTTAGAGGTTTCAACTCTCCTGGGAATTGGTGTAGGGATGATTAAGGTTTATTCTCTACTTCTATGAAGGCTGAGGATCCTTGTACTAAGCCCAAGAGGAGAATGGGGATGCTTCTAGGAAGCATGTGGATCCTTGTACTAAGCCCAATAGGAGGCTGGGGAATTTATTTTGTCCAAGTCTTAAGAAGAGTTCAAGAAAGGTTTCACTGGGAAATAATCCTTTCTTTGTTGAACTGTACCAAGATTAAAGGGGTTAAAGAAGAGGTTTCACTAGGAAATAATCCTCTATTTATTGAAGTTTTTCAAGGATAAATCAATTGATCAAAGCCCAAGAAGAGACTGACTGTATTGGGAAGAAGAATTCTTTTGTACAGGGGGAAACTAGTTGTTTGAACTAAGTTATGCTGAATGACAAGGATCCTATTGTTTGAACTAGTCTAAACTATATATTTCAAATGCTAAGAGAAACTTAAAAAGATATGTACAAGCATATATATATATATATATATATATATATATATATATATATATATATATATATATATATATATATATATATATATATATATATATATATATATATATATATATATATATATATATATATATATATATATATATATATATATATATATATATATATATATATATATATATATATATATATATATATATATATATATATATATATATATATATATATATATATATATATATATATATATATATATAATATGAATAAATATATGAACAAGTATGAATTAAATTGAAAAAGGTGGTGGGTCTTATACTTTGGATAGAAGTCCATGTACGTTATTTGTATCCTGTACAAAGCCCGGGATGAATGAAGCTAAAAGGTTTTTTATTTACAAAAGGTGTTGGGTTTTACACTTTAACAGAGCCCCATGGTGTTATTTTTATCCTGTACAAAGCTCAAGATGAATGAGGCTAAAATGTTTTCTATTTACAAAAGGTGTTGGATCTTACACTCTAATAGAGGCCCATGGTTATTGAAAACAAAGTTTATGTATAGAGAGATGGGACTTACACTCCTAGCAGAGGCCCAGATGATTTTGAAAACAAGGTTTATGTACAGACTGATGGGACTTACACTCCTATTAGAGGCCCATGTGATTTTGAAAACAAAGATCGCACCGTGATTTTGAAAAGCACAACGGGACTTATATTATAGCAGAGGCCTGTGAAATGGTTTATTTACAAAGGGGGTTGGGTCTTACACTCTAATAGAGGCATATGAGTGTTATTTATTATTTAAAACAGTTAATGTACAAAATATTGGGGCTTATACTCAAGGAGAGGCCTAGATGATTTATTTGAAAACAATGATCGCACCGCGATACCGAAAAATGTTGTGGGACTTATACTATAGTAGAGGCCCAAAATTTATTTATGTACGTACGGGATTGGGTCTTACACTCGAATAGAGGCCATGGTGTATTAAAATGAAGTTTTGAAAGATTAAATCAAAAGGGAAACCCTAATTTTATTTTATTTTGCATTTTTAAAAGGAAAAATACAATTAAAAAGGATGAAAAATATCAAATAAATTCACAAAGAAAGTTATGAACCATGGTTAGCGTTTGGAAAATAAGGTTTTATTCACATGATGATTTAAAATTAATTTGGTTTTGAAAAATCAAGAAAAAGAAATTATTTAAAATGTTTAAAATAAATTAAAATAAAATTCTCTAAAATATTTAAAAATATATCAAATAAAAATATTTTTTTGATTTTTTGCGCGGAATAAAATATTTAAATATGTGAAGGATTTAAGTTTAAATAATCACTTGAAAATTATTAAAATTGAGAGAGAAATTAATTTTTGAAGATTATTAACAAAATAAAAATTTCAAATATTAGAAAAAAGGCGCCAATGGCTCCTTCTTCTTCCTCGCATCTCTCTCCATGGTCGTTTTGCAAGAGCTCACTTATCTCTCTAATTACGCAATGAAATCAAATGATGTAAACATGGGGTTTGTTCGTTTTTTAACAAGAAACATGATGGTGGAAATTAATTTCATTTCTTTTAAGTGTAGAGAGAATTATCAAGCATGAACATAGAAACCCTAGAATTTTCAAAAACTATCATGAAAATCTATACACGATTGAAACATTGCAATTGGTTGAGAGAAAATACTATGAACTATCAGAAACATATTGGTAACTTGAAAATAAATTTATGATGCATGGATCATAGAGTTTGAGAGCTTGAGGCTTACTTGTGCAACAGAAAATTAAACTTTGATATAGAGGTATTACAAATGCCAAATGATGATCTGGATAACTTCCTTGGACCTCAAAGAGTGTGTTAAGATGCTTGGAAGGGATTGAGAACCTCTGGATTGGTGGGCTCGAATCAAACTGCATGTGGCTTGGGGTGAGATATGAACTTGATGAATTTGGTGTTATGGATGTTTTTCAAGGGTTTGGATCAGTTATATATAATGTATATGAGGTGTTAAGACCATTGGTTTGAGTTGAGTTGCTCTCTATTGCAAAATTAGATTCTCACACCTCATGAAATTGAAAATTTAGAATGATGAGTGAAATGGTGGGAAACAAGTGTTGTTATGTTTTGGTGTGTTTTGATCAACCAAAATGACCTCTATTTATAGTAGAGGAAGTTTGTTTTATAAGGAATAATGAATGGATGAGGGAGCATGCTATTATCCAATGGATTTTTTCAACTAGCCAAAGTCTCCTCCTATCATAGCTAGGCATTGACTCCAATTCAAATTTGCAGGTTTGAACACTCATGACTTCGGACTGAGCCTTGGCTAGTTTGTGCTTGATCCATGCCACCTCAATGCATCACATTAATGCTTGATGCCAAAGTTGAAATTCAAGGTTCATGCCATGATAGATTTGCACATGCTAGGCTAGATACTTGACTCCTTGTGTTATGGTTCAAATTCCTTCATCATTTATGTAGATATTGGATAGAAATCCAATGATTCAAGTGTCTAAAATTAGCTTGAAAATCGTGCGATGCAAGTTATGCGCCAAATGATATCAAAAAATAGTTTGCATCAAGGCATGTTGTGAGGTTTATAACTTCTTGCTCAAGTTAAGTAACTGGATGTTCTTGTACTCTTTGGAAAGCTTGTATATCATACTTCAACTTTGATATTTACATTTGGTCTTGATTCATCTTGGATAATAATGAAAAATGCCTCCAAAGTTGGGCAAAACATGAGGCAAATTCTTCCTAAAAATTTCAAAGTGTCAAAGTTCAAAATCTCATGAAACCCTAACTTTAATGCTTCATATCTCAAAATCTAGGCATTTTTAGGGGTACTTGTGCTTTGAAATATTGTTGTATGTAAGAAGATATATCATTTGAGCATTGGATGGGAGAAAACAGTTGCTTAGATCATAAGTTATGGTCTTGCAAAGTTGGGTAAAATTTAAGTTCTTTCCATAACTTAGTGAAATTTCAAGTTTCTCAAGGCTGCCCCTTTGGAAGGTAACCTCAATTTTCTTGATTTCTCTTGATTTCTCTTGATTGATCATGATTTAAATCATCACTTAACATTGTTTTGACTTAAAGAGGCCATGTTTTCCAAGAAATCCCAAAAGTCAAACTTGGTTTTGATCACAGTTGAGTTTTAACTTTAGATGAAACTTGAACTTGGTGATCCTTTATGGAATCAAGTCCTTGGGATAAATTTAACCTAATGGATGGATTACAAAGGTATTTTTTAGTGTCTTGAAACATTTCTCATAGTTTGAGATCATGTCTTACTTCAAAAGTCAACATATGGGTTGAATTAGGTCAAAACCCTAATTCTTGATTTTTGATAGATGCAAACCCCTGAGGCTATTTCGAAACTATGAATGAAATCATGAGGTTATTTTGAGCTTCTTGAATAATGTATTGAAGTATTGTCTCATGCCCAGATGAAAAAATTTCTTTGGAAGCCTTGGTTGATCAAAACCCTAATATGGTGACACTGATGGACTTGAGGCTTGATTAACTTAAAATGGTGCAATCTTGTGTTAAATTCTTTATAGGGTGGATATCTTGATCCTTCATGGGTGTTTGAGAGGCTTGAAAAGTTGAAGATCATGTAAAATCTTGATTGATCCCTTGCCTGAATGCTTTGAGAGGGATAAAAACCCTAATCCTTGGTTAAGGTGAATATTCAACAATATTTGAGAAGATTGTTAAGGTATGATTATACATCCATATTATGGTGATGATTTGCACAATGGTGTGAAGTATCGTGGTCAAAATTTAGGGTATAACAGGCTTGGTTCACCTGGTTTTCAAATGCAAAACCTAGCACAACTCTTTCTACGATGTGGAAAAGTTTGAATTTTGCACAGCGGTAAAACGAAACTTATAATTTAAGATAGCGGGATAGGAAAAAAAAGAAATGCATGTGAGTAGCATTGTATAAAAGTGCATGTGATTGATAAATCTAATCATTGTAACTATTGTAAAAAAACACTATGGAAGATTAGGAATGAACCATTATAGGTTTGACGTCTGGATTTAGTTATTTCTTGTAATGAAATCTTGCAACAAAGAGTAAAGGTTGTAGTCAACACGTCGAAGATAAATTTAATATTTATAATTTATAATAAAAAAGTAACATATACTTGACTGTAATTGAATACACATGTCAATTTGTATCTTAGGGACTAAACTTCTATTAATGAACATCCTCGCATTATGGGGATGGTTTTTCTACTATTCAAAGAATAAGTTAAACAAATTAAGAAAGATCATTTTAAGCTGGACAAGCAGGAGCCTTTCCAATGACTATAGGTTTGACATTAGAACATTTAGCTTTTGCTGGTGCTCCATTGAATGTGAGATCAATATTATTTAGCTCCACACCATCGCAAGGTACACCACTGCTGCAAACAAGAATCACTCCTTCTGTTGATTTTGAAGTTCCGTGAATATTCTTGAACGAAACCTTGCTTATCTTTATTTTTGATGGATTCTAAATCATTGAAAACCATCCAAGAAGTGAATAAATTGTTAGTCCTTTTAATCAATGCAATAAAAGTTTTTCTTGTGAGTGATAAACAAATAAAGATGTAACTTTTCCTAGTGATTATTACCTGTTTTGAGCACTGGTTCCATGGACAATACTCTTGATCAATGATGATTGGGTTCAAGACATTAATCATTGTAATATCTTCAAAATGCATATCAGTAATAGTAATTGTTCCTGGTGCAGATGGCCAAGTCTTGATCCTCACACCATTATCAGTTTCTTTCATAGTACAATTCTTAACTAAAAGACCTTCTACATTATCTTCTGTTGTATACTTTCCAAGACTTCCAACACTAATACCGTGACCAGGTCCACAATTGACATTTTGGACGGTTACTTGTTTGCTACCATCACCCAAGGAGATACAATCATCTCCTGTACCAATGTTGGAATTAATAATTTTAACATCGGTTGATTTTCCCATGTGGATTCCATCGGTGTTAGGACTCATAGCAGGGGCAGTAATTGTGACACCATCAAATGTGAAATTGTTGCACCCTAAAACATTAACATGGAAATTTTTGCTGTCCTTAGAAGTAATGTCACGGACGATGGAGTTGTTGACAAAATTAAAACCAAAATTCTGTTCAAATTGTAAATGTTTGTCAAGTGAAGGTAAAATTATTTGTTTATGAGTAGTGAATTCAATGATGAGGTAGATTAATATTTACCATGCAGACTCTATTGGAAGTACTTGGACCTTTTCTCCAAGCAGCTCCACCTTGTTTCCAAACAGCTGCACCTTGACCATCAAAAACTCCTTTCCCTGATAATGTTAAAGAGTTTAAATATTGAAACCGAACCCATTGATCAGACCCTTTTTGGACTAGATTTATATCTGAAGGTGCTTGAATTGTGCCATCAACTTGAACTTCAATTGGAGCTTTACAAGGACCTTTAACATCTATTCCAGTCAACTTGTATGTGCCCGCTGGAATCACAATTTTGGTTGGAGTTGGAGATGCACATGCTTCAGTCCAAGCTTTTATGAAAGCCTTATGAAAACAACCAATTAAATGTGTTAAATATTTACATAGTGGATCCAAATTTGTTAACTGTGTTTTTATCTAAAACATGAAATAATTACTACCTGGGTAATATCTGAATTTGGTGTTCCGCCGAATTTCGATATTGGAAATACAGTTTGAGCTGCACCAAAGTTAGCTAGAAATAGGAATGAAACAATTATGGCTATACTGAAGTTCTTCATATCTTCTTTGAATAGTGTTGCTATATTCGCTTATTTTCGTTGAATGAATGTGTTCTTTCAAAGTAACATGGCACAATATTTATACTTACATGGCAAAGCTTCGTGACCATGAACAATGCAACTACCTGTTTTCTAATTATGTTTTTTTACCTTCTTTAATGTTTGGTTGATTTTTATGTCTATTAATATCATTCAATTTTCATCTCTCATGCCTATAATGGTGAGAACTAACATGTGTTTATAATTAGTAAATTTGTTGTTAATAGTATCAAATATTATCTCATCACATATGTCATTCTAACTAGTAGGGAATATAGGTTATTATAATCGATAATCTTCATAACACTAAGGAGCTTGTTTGGGAATGGGAGAAGATTATATCGAGCTTAATAGGATAATTTGTTTGGGTTGTTATTTGTTTATAACTACTTGACACTTCAACAAATATATATATATATATATATATATATATATATATATATATATATATATATATATATATATATATATATATATATATATATATATATATATATATATATATATATATATATATATATATATATATATATATATATATATATATATATATATATATTGAGAGAGAAACAGAGGGAGTTATACACACAACTCACAATTAAAAAATATATCTTTTGTTAAACATATTACTACGATCCTTATGTTAACCGTAGTAATAACTCATATTTTGACGTTATTTTTTTGTTGTTATTTACTAAAAGACATTTTATAACAATCAATGTAACAATTGTGGTGAAAGTATTACATGCAACCTTTCAATAATCTTTCTTCATAATATATATAACTTATTTCATGGCATTTGCAAATCTGTTAAAATTGAAATGAGAGAATGTATAACCTAGGAAGTGAAGTTTTATTGAGATGTATAATAAATCTTCTTTCATGTTGTTTTTAGGATCATATGACCTAAGTAGTTAACTAAAGATGATTATAATAGTTTTAGAAATTAACTTAATATGAGTGAATGTATAACCTAAGAAGTGAACTATGTTGTTTATGTAATATTATGATGTTAGAAGTGAGTTTTCCATACTATTCACTACTATAAAATATATATTTCATAACACCATATTACTACAATCCTTTTGTTAACCATAGTAATAAATCATTTTTTAGCATTTTCTTTTTTGGTACTTAACAAAATATATTTCACAGTAGTTAATGTTAACAACCATGGTGAAATATTACATGCAAGCTTCCAATAATCTTTATTCATAATATATAATATAGCATATTGTTGCGGTGAGAATCAAATATCAAGTTATTGTATTAACTTGAATCAAAAAACATTGAATTTTCACTATCGAACTTTAATTATACAAAGGAAAGGGAAAAGATCGAATAAAATCCTAATTGTTCAATTTAACAACAATGCAAAGAGAGCTAAAGGTTCGTGGGTTGATTATACAAAGGGAAGGTATTAGCACCCTAAGTATCTATAATATCATATAGAAACCTCTTGAAAATATTTTTGTTATGGTAATTTGATTGCTAATGCTTTGAAGTGTTTTCTTTTTGGGTTTTATGAGATAGGGAACCTAAGGAGGTTTATTGCTAGTGTGCTCCCCAAGACTTCACAGTCTTATGCCTACGTATCCTAACAAGGATGAAATCAAAGCAATCATAGTTCACCTTAACGGTTGAAGAACACTTGATAGTGATCAAGGTTCACAAGGGTAAATTAAGTGTTTATAATAATAACACGTGCATGACAAAGTCAAAAGAGTTTACAAACTCTAACCTAAGACTATGTTGAAAGGTTGATGACTAAACAAAGTCAAGAGAGGTAGTTAAAGGAATTGTATGCTACCTATGACATAAGGTCAAAAAATGGAATCTTTCCTTTGGATTTAGGCAACAAAAGAAAAGATATATATATATATATATATATATATATATATATATATATATATATATATATATATATATATATATATATATATATATATATATATATATATATATATATATATATATATATATATATATATATATATATATATAGAGAGAGAGAGAGAGAGAGAGAGAGAGAGAGAGAGAGAGAGAGAGCTAACATGCTAACAACACTAGGGGATGACTTAATAAAGTCAAAATTAAACTTGAGTATGGGATGAGATGAATAAGAATGCTATTTAAACATGATATTCAAAACATAAATGATAAATATGACATTCAAACATGATATCTGTTATACCCCAAATTTTGACCCCTAGATTCCATCATCATTTTAGGAGCATCAACATTGTTTATCTAACCTTAACACCTTTCAAGTTTGATCTTTGTTAAGATACAGGTGAATTAGAATTTCATAGTAAGGAATCAGGGTTTCTATGGTTTGATCAATCAAGGTTTTGAGTTGATTCCCCATGTAGACATTGATAGAATAACATTGATTATCCAATTTGAGGTTAAATGGAAACTGTAGTTTCTGATTGGGGTTTTAAAGGAGAAGAACAGTATAGTCCAAGGTCCCAGATTAGGGTTTCTGATTGGAAAATTCAACTGTAGTTTGACTTTTGATTTAAATGGCATTCCAATGGTGGAACTGTAATAACCTAATTTTTCAATAATTAATTATTCATGTTAATTAATTTATTTATTTGGATGATTTTGATTATTGGAATTATTGGTAGATATTTGAAAGAAGAATATGATGGAAGGAAATAAAAAGAGAAAGATATATAAGTCGAAAGTGGAAAGAAAAGGAAAAAGATAGAAACATAAGAGAAAAGAAGAGAAAGAAAAAGGAAGAGGAGAAAAGAGAAGGAAAAGAGGGAAAAGCTTGAAAAGCTCAAAATCAACTCTTTGGGATCGATTTAATCGAGGTAAGTGTGTGAAATGTTGTTATTATATCAATGTCTATGATTATGTATGATTGGTTTGGATTGTTTGGATGTTTTCTCCATTTCCCATTCTAGGGCATAAATGAGTTTAATCGGTAGAATCGAAATTTTAACGGTTGCAATTGAGAATAAAGCATGTAGTTTAGTCGAGGGATGTTAGACTAAGACTATAGGAACTGGTTTGGTGAGAATCAGTTGATTTTGTGAAGAGTTGAGGATTGATGAAAGTGAGGGTTTCTGAGTTCGCAAACGTTCGCTAGCACCTTTGCTAAGCGAACAGGTCGCGAGTGTTCGCTAGCAACTCGCTAGGCGAGCAAGTTAGCGAGTGGTCCCAGACTTGGACAAAATGTATTTGGTCTTGTTCGCTGGTAGCGAGTGAGGTAACGAAGGATTCTCTAGGACCTCGCTGTGGCGAGTAGGTAGCGAACGAAGTCAGTAGCTTCTGTTTGCCTTCGCGAGCTTGTTCACTAGGCAAACAGGTAGCGAGTGTTCGCTAGGGACTCGCTAGGCGAGCATGCTAGCGAGCGTGACAACATGTTGTTTTCTCCGTGATTCCATCCTATGTTGATTGTTTTGGTTTGATTGTGTTCGATCCTTGTTGGAAATGAATAGTTTATGTGCTATTATGATGGAATATGTTGTGGGTAGCCGTAAGGCGTGAATCCTAGATTATGAAATGTGGTCTTTTGACAAATATAATACATTGTTTAAATTGATTAAAAATGCATGATGAATGGCGATGAGGTTTGTTGCCATTTGGCACAATGCTGTGAATATATATATATATATATATATATATATATATATATATATATATATATATATATATATATATATATATATATATATATATATATATATATATATATATATATATATATATATATATATATATATATATATATATATATATATATATATATATATATATATATATATATATATATATATATATATATATATATATATATATATATATATATATATATATATATATATATATATATATATATATATCGATTATATATTATAATATGTGAAGAATGCATGGGAACATATTGTGAATATGTGTGCATTGCTTGATAATGTGGTGATGATATTGAATTTATGAATGCATATTGTTTGTATGCGATGTTGTGAAGAATGCATGGGAGCATATTGTGAATATGTATGCATTGCTTGACGAATATGATGTTATTGAATATGAATATGTTGTGTGTGCAATCATGTTATAATTCTTGAGTGATGAATTATTTAAATGCATGAGATTAAGATGCGAAAACGGTCTTAAGTGCATTTGGTGGTTGATTGCATATGCATCATTTAGTCAAGAGGCAATGTTTGTTAGTTTCGTGGAGACTAGTGACTTGTCCCAAACCTAGAAGGGTGGGTTTGAAAGCTTAGGGAACGTCTTTTGTTGTTATCGGTCTAGAAGGGTGGACCCGGTTTAAGTGTAAAAACCAAAAAATGATAACAAGTGTTGGTACCACATGACATGAGTTGCATTGAGTTGCATTGAGTCACATGATTAATGTGTATTGTTGTATGAAAGTATACTCGTATGTGAAGTATTGAATTGAGAATTATGGATGTATGCATGATGAGATGTGCTTGGTGATTATCCATGTTTGTTTATACATATGTTGTGATGTATATGATGATTGGCATGAATTGTGGAGAGAAAATGTGGAATATATGTATTATGTACTTGTGTAAGTTTATATAATTATATGCATTGATTATTATGATAATATTTCTCACCCTTCTGCTGTTTTATAATGCTCTATGAGGCATTGCAGATTAGGTTGCTGGAGGTCTTTTGTGAAGTATAACTTCATTCTTTTGTCAGTCAGCTCTGATATGTAGCACCGAGTAGTTAGGATAGTACAGTATTCTTTTAGGATACATTTTATATATGTATCTGATGACAATGTGTAAGTGAACATGAATGATGTGTTGAAACAAACCGAATGATATGCATTTATATGATTAACATGTTAAGTGATTCAATGTTTAGATTTTCCGCTTTAATTCTAAATATCGAGATGTGTGTGTAAGAATTAATTTCCTTTATTTGAAAGCTACCCCACTGTTACATGTCTTTTGTAGAGCAGGTGT